TGTGCAGGCAGCAGCCGCCACGCAGCAACTCCGAGCCTGCTCAGCTCCAGCACATCCACATGAACCAAATTGAGTGTACCGGGGCGCGGCCAAGCCAGGCATTCTGCTGGCGGCAGCGGCTGCACACAGAGGCAGGCAAAGGCCTGGCGCTCAACCCCATCGGGGTGACACTAGTGCCCATGCCAGCAGCCCGAACTCCCTCACGGTGGAGGTGGGGCGGGAGGCACATGCAGGGACCCTCGATGCAGGCGCGCTGGCTATCCGGAGGCCTCTGAGGCCATGCCTCCAGCCATGAGCATCCAAGCTGCAGCTTCTGTGTGGCAGGCAGCAGCCTCCAGGCAACCCCGACATCTCAGCCCGCACTCCCAGCTCTCAGAACCAGATGTCCCAACAGCTACAACCAAATAAAAAGAGCAGTCTGCCTGGGGCTGCACGGGGGCAGGAACCCGCCCTCCAGCCCCCATTCCCGGTGGCTGCGAGAGGGGCCCCAGCGGTCCCGAGCTCCGGCGGGAGAGAGCCGGGCGAGGGGCACCCCCTGGCAGGCCCTCGGGACAGGCGCACTCGCGATCAGAGGCCCGCGCCCGGGCCATGCTCCACCTCCCTGGCGCCCAAACTGCAGGCGCCCTCTGCCTGCTACGCGCCTGGCCTCCCAAGCTCTGTGGCGCTCCAGCCTCGCAGGGCAGGGGCCGGATTGTCGCCCGCGGCTGCGGCCAGATCTGCCGGCGGCGGCTGCACCAGGAGCGGGGAACGGCCCCCTCAGCCCATCCCCGGTGGTTGCAGGAGGCCCTGCGTGGCCCGGATCTCTCTTCAGAGGAGCGGGGCGGGGGTCACGGCCAGGCGAGGAGCCCTCAAGCCGCGCGGGCGGCGCGCGTGTATTCGGACGTCTCGGGCGAGCCCAGGAGAACCCGCAAGCCCGCGGCGCCTGCGCCCGACCTGCACCCGCCCCCTGCCGGCCTCCCGCTGCGGGCCGCGCGGGCTTGGGAGCTGCTTCCGGCTTCCGCGCGGACGCTGAGCCGCAGGCGCGCCCTAACGGCGTCGCGGGCTCCCCCTCGATGAGAGAGGTCGGAGGCTGCGTCGAGAGAAGTCGCCCCACATGAGGAAGCTCTTCAGCTTCGGGAGCACACGCTGGGCCAGGCGGTCCTAGTCCGTCCACCACGGAAGCAGGCGGGTCGGGTCCCACACCAGGGACGCGGAACTGCGGAAGACCCACAGGGCGGCCCATCAACTGCACGACACCGCGAGAGGTGCAGCTGCCACCCAGCACGCAGAGGCGGGACATTGGTGCTGCGACAGGAAGGACAGGTGGCGGGAGCTCGGCCCCACAGGAGCAGAGGGGGTCCCCAGGCCCGGCCTGCAGAGTCCTGGGGACTGGGGGCCTTGGAGGGCGCGGGGCACCCTCTGAGCAGCGGAGCCAAACGGAGCCTCAGCTGCTTTCCATCGCTGGCGATTCCCTGCCTGGAGCTCTTGGTGGAGAATTGCCCAGTGATTTAATTCACAAAGTTGAGCCTCTCCCATTCACTTTCTCCTGATCGTGGGAGATCACCTAATGGCTCATTCCCATGTGAAAAGCCACCGCCCGGAGTCATGTTCAGTAGGCGAAGTTCTCAGATAAAAGCCTGGGTCGGTTTTACATCCCGATCACCATGTAGATAGAGCTGTTTCCTGCGGAGCTTCTCAGAGGACACTTGGAAGTGGGAGGTGGGTTCCTTGAATGGGAAGACTCCGTTTTCTCAAAACATGAGCTCTTTCTATGTTTATCAGTTTTACATAAACCGAATGAAAATATCAAGGATTTATCATTTTTGCATGACATCTGCTGTCTATCTTACTATTGTGATGACATTTAAAAGAATTTTGTAACGAATTGAAAAAGACTTGCTCCTCTAGATACCAAATGTGCTATTAATTCCCACAATTGTTTACTAACAGCTGAAAAGACATAAGTACATAGGACAAGAATGATCCAGAAACACTGAAAATACATGTAAGATATAGCTGTAAAAAGGACTGATAATAGTGACTTGTTTCCGGATGGTGAAGGGTTGGGTTGTTAAAGTGCCTGCTCTTTGAGGAAAACTAATGAAATTTTATGTCACAAAAATGAGTTCCTGATGGAATACAGATTGAAATTTTACACACATGCAAAATGAGAAAGCACCAGAGAAAACCCCAAAAATGCTTGTTTATACAGGTACATTTTACTTTGCCAAAGGCCTTCCTGAGAATGACCTCACAAGCAGGCATTCTAGCAGAGGTTGATTTAGCAAATAAAAATTAAAACCCCCAGGCTAGTGGTGGCTCACACCTGTAATCCCAGCACTTTGGGAGGCTAAGGTGGGCGGATCATGAGGTCAGGAGACCATCCTTCTTACAGTGAAGCCGTCTCTACTAAAAATATTAAACAGCCTGGCGTGGTGGCACGTGCCTGTGATCCCAGCTACTCGGGAGGCTGAGGCAGGAGAATCACTTGAACCTGGGAGGTGGAGGTTGCAGTGAGCCGAGATGCTACACTGCACTCCAGCCTGGGCTACACGGTGGAATGTCTCAAAAAAGGAAATAATAATAATAATAATAATAAAACCCACCTATGTGTCAGAAAAAAATTAACAAAAGATAACATACTTGAAAAATATTTACTATGTATATGTTTTTACTAATATATATATAAATAGATATTCAGATGAAAAGTGTATCTTAATCCTACAGAGAATTTATTTTTATTATATATTATTATATATAACAATATACATATAAAGAATTGTATATATTACTGATATAATATATATACACACAGATAAAAAGCACATCTTCATTTTACAGGGAATTGTTTCTAATCAAATCCACAAGAAAAGAACTCTAAAAGTGAGCAAAGTACTGTTTTGCAGCTCCACAAGTTACGTTTGTACATATGAAAAAATCCTTAGTGTTTCGTAAAAGAAGGAATTTAAGTTAGGCGGTGGCGGTGGCTCGAAGCCTGTAATCCCAGCACTTTGGGAGGCCGAGGCGGGTGGATCACGAGGTCGGGAGATCGAGATCATCCTGGCTAACACGGTGAAACCCCGTCTCTACTAAAAAAAATACAAAAATCTAGCTAGCGAGGTGGCGGGTGCCTGTGAGGTCCCAGCTGCTCTGGAAGGCTAAGGCAGGAGAATGAAGAACCGGGAGGCAGAGCTTGCAGTGAGCCGAGATCGGCCTGCACTGCGCCTGGGTGACAGAGCGAGACTCCGTCTCAAAAAAAAAAAAAAAAAAAAAAAAAAAAAAAAGAATTTAAGTTAAAAGAGGAATGAGACTGTGTTTTCTCTTCATCCACAGACTGTGCTCTTTATCACATTGTGAAATAAAGAAGCAGTGGTATCTACTCTGCTACTTAAAGTTTAAGTTGCTGATGACTTTTCAAATAGAAAATTTGGTGAAACATGCCCTTTACCTATCAATTCCATTGTATTAAAATACCTTTAGAAAATAGATACATGTACTTTGTTTTTTCAGCATTTATGTCAGCAAGAGCCACAGAATGTGTCCTATAAATAAGTTTCAGTTGCATCCATAGGATGGAATAATATGTGACCATTGAAGGTGACAATAGATATAGAAGTATGGGAGGTTCCCTTGATGCCAGGAATTTGAGACCAGCCTGGGCAACAAAATGAGATTCTTTCTACAATTTTTTTTTTTTATAATTAGCTGAGCATGCTGGTGTGCTCCTGTGGTCCTAGCTACTCAGGAGGCTGAGGCAGGAGGATCACTTGAGCCTAGGAGTTCCAGGTTGCAGTGAGGTAATATATGAAATATATGTAATACACGATTACACTCCAGCCTGGGCGACAGAGCAAGACTGTCTCAAAAAAACAACAATCTAACAATTAATGAGTTGTTGAGTTGTTGCTTGTTCTAGGAAAACGGTCTAAATACTTTACATAGATTCCCATTTAAGCATCACAGTGGTGTCTGGCCAGGCTAGCTGCTATTGTCATCTTTATTTTATTAATGAGGAAAATGAGCACAGAAGGCTAAGCAATAGCTGGTAAGTGACCAAGTTCCAAGTAGAACTCAAGCCGTAGTTGAACTGAATCCAAACACCAAGCTCATTCTATCCAAATAAGCTGCTGTTTCATTAAGGTAGTGAGCAATAAGGCTAATAAATATTGTACTTTCTTCAAAAAGAAAATTATTTGTTTGAAGGCAGAGGAATAACATGCTGTTCAATGTTTGCCCCATAAACCAGTGTAGGTTTTGAGATATTGCATTATAATTTCCTGAAAACTCCTCGCTTTCATGGGACTGCTCTACATTTGGCCTGTGCGCATGACTGTGTGGAAGTGCTCACTCTCTTGCTGAGCAGAAAATGCCAGATTGACATCTGTGACAGACTAAACAGGATGCCTTTGTGAAGGTGTATAGTAGCCAGAATCTTTTGGCATGAAATAGATTTCACTAAATACATAGGGTAAAATAGAATTTATCTCATTTAAATATAACAGGTTGGTGAAATCTGTGGAATATGTATTTTAATTCTTAGAATTTTATAGTCTAATTTTTCATCTAACACTGATAGGCTGTACATTGCCAGGAAGAGACGTGTTCCATTATTCTGCTGGAACATGGTGCCAGAAATCTAAACATTAAGGATATCTGGCAACACTGCTTCATGAGTGTTAAACATTAAGGATGTCTACAGCTTAGCCACTGCTCTTCATGATGTTAAACATTAAAAGGATGTCAGCAACACTGCTGCTTCATGATGTTAATCATTAAGGATGTCTACGGCAACACTGCTCTTCATGATGTTAAACATTAAGGATGTCTACAGCAACACTGCTCTTCATGATGTTAAACATTAAGGATGTCTACGGCAACACTGCTCTTCATGATGTTAATCATTAAGGATGTCTACGGCAACACTGCTCTTCATGATGTTAATCATTAAGGATGTCTACGGCGCAACACTGCTCTTCATGATATTAAACATTAAGGATGTCTACAAGCAACTTACACTCTTCATGATGTTAATCTGTTAAGGATGTCTACGGCAACACTGCTCTTCATGATATTAATCATTAAGGATGTCTACACAGCACTGTTCTTCATGATGATGTGTGTAATAAGGGGGATTCACTGGCAGGAAAACTGCTTTCCCACCATGCAAATATTGAAGCACTAAACAAGGTATAGATCAGTCAACTTTCTTTTCAAAATATTTGTTTTAACATTGACACTTAGGTAAGAGTCGAATTTTTCATATTTGGAAGATCAGGCATTTCTGAATGAATATATTTCAAAATAACTGAATTGTCACAAGATTTTACTTTAAATATTGATCTTTTAAAGAAGCATTAGCGGAGGGCACAGCTTGTTTGAAATTGCTATGGGAAATATTTGTGAATTTTTCAAGGGAAGACTTCTTTAGTATCTGTTTCCCTACCCCAGGTGTATTTTCCTAATTATGTAAAACACACACACATGAAAGAACTTACCCTGGAAATAGGCTTTATCTTAAAAACTCAGAACAAAACTAAAGCAACTTTGCTGCACTTTGACAGTTTTCTCAAAAAAAAAATGATGTGCCTTTAGGTCTGCCAAGGTTTAAGAGAGGGAAAAATGGGAGAGAAAGGAGAGAGGGAGCAATCAAATATTTCAAAATAACTGAATTGTCTAAGATTTTACTTTAAATATTGATACTTTTAAAGAAGCATTAGCGGGCACAGCTTGTTTAGTGCACTTATGGGAAATATTTGTGAATTTTTCAAGGGAAGACTTCTTTAAGTATCTGTTTCCTACTCCAGGTGTATTTTTTTCTAATTATGTAAAACACACACACATGAAAAGAACTTACCCTGGAAATAGGCTTTATCTTAAAACTCAGAACAAAACTAAAGCAACTTGCTGCTGCTGACAGTTTTCTCAAAAAAAACTGATGTGCCTTTCAGTGCAAGGTTTAAGAGGGAAAAATGGGGAGGGAAAAGGAGAGCAATCAAAAACATGTAGGTCACTTGGAAATTAGGTAATGAGGAAAAATGCCAATAAGAGGTTTTGTTTTTTAGTTTGTTGTTTTTCCAGTTTATGTATAAAGTGCTCTTCAGCTTTGGGGTAATCATTTTTGGTTTGGTAAACACAGTAATTGAAACTTGCCTAAATGTTAATTTTTAGAGGACTCTGAGGAAACCAGATTGGCCATGGATAGATGGTGATGAAGTGAGAAACACTTCAGCAAAGGATGGAACAAATTAGTGACTGACTTATTACCCATCCTAGCAAAAACAACCACTTAGCTAAGAGTCTAAGCTCTCCTCTCAAATCTAGAATGTCTTGGTGGGAAGGTGGGAGATACAATGTCTTAGAAGGAGATGTTGAACTTATAAATAATTCAAATCAAGTGGGATTTGAGTCGCATTGTCCCTGTTCTACCCATACCCAGGAAAATTAACTGAGATTAATAAATAACTCTACCCTACCTTTTTTTTGGCCACATCTCAAGCTGATAAAGCGATATTGACGTGTGGGTGAGTGATGAAACTGAAGTGATTGTTCACTGCAGTAATTCTTCAGCTAGAATTGTGCATTACAGTGACCTGAATTTTGTTAAAAGTCTATATGTAGGCTTTCCCGAAGATTTTGATGTAACTGGAGCTAATAAAGCCTGAAAAATGCATGGTTAAAAATATTTTCTTGAAGCCACACACAGTGGCATGTTTCTATAGTCCCAGCTACTCAGGAGGCTGAGGTGGGAGGATTGTTTGAGCCTAGGAGTTTGAGTCCAGCCTGAGAAACACAGTAAGACTCTTTTCTCTTACAACAGCAACAGCAAAAAAAAAAAAAAAAAAGAAAAAGAAAGAAAAAATAAATAATTTCAGGGTTTGAATGTACTCCTGATTAAGAACCACAGAATAGATAAGTGCAGTATATAAATCTCGATCTCAAAATATATGAAATCTCTAGAAGAGTTGATATTTGATAGAAGTACTTTCTTTTCAGTTCTTTCCCAATGACGTTAGCCTGACTTATCTGTCTTTCTGCGTCAGATCAGAAAGTGAAAGCAGTGGGCCATTGTTGGTACATTCCCAGCTTACAGAATAACACCTTTTCCTTCCCACCATGAAATCATTCATCACAGTTCAGAGAGTCTTTAGCAATTCTCTTGTGGAGGTCTTTTCAATAGGCAAAGGCTGACCTTTCACACCTTCATGTTCCTTTGTTACCTTCATTCATGATTATGTACAATAAATGTTCATTACAAGTGAAATTTTCTCATTTAGATTAGTAGCAAATCCTGAACCTTTTTTTTTTTTCATTTGAAGTTGTATTATGACTATCCTAGCATGTCTGTTGTTTATGGAGCTTTACATAATCAGGATGTCAGTTTTAAACACTGAAATCCATGAAGTCAATGAGAATACTATAGGAATTCTTTTTAATAAGTCTGCTTCTAGCAGTCTTATGGAATTAATTATCTATTTGGTTAATAATCTGGGAAATGGCAAACAGATTTCAAATGAATAAATTTTGGGAAAATTCTTAAGGTGGGTATTATGAGTCTTAACAGCAACTTTTATTTTATATATATATATATATATATATATATCAGCTGATTTTTATATAAAATATGATACTAGAGAAAGAAAAAGTTTCACACGTAAATACTTGGTTTATACAAAGTCATTTAGTAATACACATCTATAGAAAATATAAATACACAAAGGCTATAGTCTAACTAAATGTGGCATATAGATTTGTTTGTTTGTCTCTTTAAATTTTCTGAGTCAATATGTAAAATTTAGCAGACTCATGCAGGAATCTGGACCTCAGGCTTGTCTTAAGAATCAAATCTGGTGTCCCCAACCCCATCACTGCTGGTCTAAGGCAGAGGTTGCCCTGTGTAGGAGGCACATATTCTCCAGCCTGCTACCGTGCCCACCTGAGTACTTCACTTATGTAGGTAACCTCCTCCATCCTTATAAGTATTTGAGTTTACAGCTTCTGTTTTATATTATATTTTCATAAAGATTTCAAGATTTCTAAGATGGTGTATATTAAGGTATAGTCTATAGTTTATAAATCCTCAATTGTGGGGGTAGAATTTTTAGAATTCAAAAGGTTTTTTTTAACTTTTTTTAAATATATATGCCACAAATAGTCATCTGCTTGTAAGAATGCCTAGAAGCCTTTTTAGGTTATTCCTGGTGAGAGCTGGCTAGTTTGCGAATATTGCAGACACTATATCATTCTTCTCAGCAATGTCCCTTAAAATGCAAAGTGACTTATTGCTTTTTATATTATGCTAGAAATAAGCCATATACATCAATATTAAAATTTTTATTGATAATCCATTGTAACATTTCGATTTATACTGCTTGTATAAAAAATGTTAAATAGCAATTTAAAATGGAAATCAATACAAATGGATTTAAAAGTGGTGTTGCATTAGGTATCCCAGGATTATCATTATAATTGACAATAAAATTTCTTACTGAGCTTTGCTTTTTTAATATTTGTTTTCAAACATTTTTAACCTGTCTCTCTTACACAGAATATACTGAGCTTTCTAACAATTAAGATAAAAATCTATCCTGTATTAGGAGAAATCCTATGACTATTTAATAATAATGAAAATAAGGATTTGAAGGGCCCTTAATTCAGAGCTCATTTCCTTAGTGACTCATTTGAATCAGGAGGTTTGACATTGGGATTCGGGATCCTGACACCATTGATATCGAATCACAAGTTTGTACCACCCAGAGGAAACCTCCACCTGAATTGGGAAGTTCTGGCAACTGTATCCCCGAAACTCTAGTTCCTAAAATGTTATTATTTATTACAAAAGCATTGTCAAATTGGGATTAGGCAAAGTTGAAGGGATTTCTTGATTGTTGGCCATATAGTACAGTTTTGTAATACTTGTCAAATGCAGACATTTATCTCCATCTTTCTGTTGATACAGTTCTTCTGGTAAAATAAATATTCTTTGGCATATAGTTTAAGAAACACTGCTCTAAAGATAATAATTTACATCATTAATTTATTTTAAAACCTAAAGCATTTGGTTATGTATTAGGTTTTAGGCTATAAAGAAAAAGACAGCTCTTGCCTCAAGTAAACTCTTGGTTTCAGGAAACAGTGAAATAATTATAAATACATTGTGCTAAAAGCTGTGAGTAGAATCAAGGATTTTGGGGACTTGCAACAGCAAGTCAGGTTTGAGATGATCTTAAGTAACGGGGAGTGCAGGAGGAGGGGTGTTTGCAAGGCAGTGTGTGTGGTGGTACACAGAGGAGTGAAAAGGAAGGGACTGGCTTGTACGCCTCTTTCTATATTGTATGTTTAAAATCTACAGCATCTTATAGGAGATTTTAGTTCAGTTGAGAAATATGCAATTCTTGTGAATTATAAATTGTTTTTGCTTTACAGGAGGGAAATACACCACTTTTGCTTACAGTAATTTGTAAGAGACAGCAAATGGTGGAATTTTTAGTAAAGAACCAGGTAAATGTACATGCTGTTGATAATTAGTCCACTTTTAGCCAGAAATCAAACAGAAAGCTAGATCAGTTAGAAGTAGCAAATGAGGTAAGATTCTTTCAGGACTTTTAAAGACCTTTATCCTCTTAGGGATCTCAGTGTTGTTCATTTTATTCAAGTATAACTTTACATAAATGAGTATATATAAATAGTGTCACATCTTTACTTTTTCTTTCTTTTTTTTTTTTAAATAGTATCTCACTATGTTGCCCACATTCCTGAGCTCAACAGATTCTCCTGCCTCAGCCTCCCAAACTGCTGAGTCACCATGCCTGGCCTGGCTTTTCTAATTAGTTATTGGGTCTTGAATGCCCAGTTTAGCAGAAAGTCTTGCATTGTCCTCTGGGGCTAATTTCTATGCCTCATCCTTTGAATTTTTCAGTAAGCTAAGGGGTTCCTAAGTCCAAGGAAGACAATCTTGCTTTACAAGTCAGAAAACTGGGGGAGAAAGGCATCTGCACATTCTGTGGTTTCATTGATTCACTTGCTGTATTGCCGCCGGTAACTGGTCCTGCAATCTGGTAATGATTGACCTTTGCCACCAGGATGGTCTTTACTGATTCAGACCCTCACTCTTCGTGGTGACTCACACAGTTCACAGCCATGGTGTTGCCTCTTTGTTGACTCAGATCTTTCAGTCTTTGTGGTGACTACACACAGTTCAGCCACAGTGATGCCTTTACTGTTTTTTTGTTTTTGTTTTTGTTTTTTTTTTTTGAGACAGAGTCTTGCTCTATTGCCCAGGCTGGAGTGCAGTGGTGATCTCAAACAGCCTGTAACCTGGGCCTCCTGGGTTCACGCCATTCCTTCTGTCTCAGTCCTCCTGAGTAGCTGGGACTACAGGTGCCTACCATGCCTCTTCTGGCTAATTTTTTTGTATTTTTAGTAGAGATGAGGTTTCACCGTGTTTGCCAGGATGGTCTCGATCTCCTGACCTTGTAATCTGCCTGCCTCGGTCTCCCAAAGTGCTGGGATTACAGGCGCGAGCCACCGCGCGTGGCTTGTGATGCCTTTACTGACCTAGATCCCTACTCTTCGTGGACCTACACACAAAGCTCACAGCCACTGTGTTTTTGGTTCCACATACGTTCAGCCATTGTTCCTGTGCACGCTGCTCACAGCAAGGCCTCCTGGCTTTACCCACACAGAGGTTGTGGGCGACTCTGCCGAACACTAAAAACTCATTTTGCCCACTTTAGCTAGCTGAGCCTAGACCTTGATGGTAAGTTATCCTTGAGACCTGTGTTCATCTTTTTCTAGCAAATTCAGTTGGGCTTTGTTCTCAGCAGTCAGGATGCCTAATAATGTTGCAGGAAGAGATCAGAGCTCCCTTCCTTTTGTTATCACATCTGTACCTTACAGTTTTTTTCTGGTCTGTGTGGGCAGCTTTTGTTAGATAGCAGAAGGCCCACATTATCCTTCAATAGGAGTTAGGCACCAACTCTGCAGTTGGCCCTCAAGTAATGTGTTTCCACACAATGAAAATCTCTCAGGCTACTTGCAGTACTCTACTTCAAGTTTTTAAAATATTCTAGTAATTCTACCTCACAGGAGGTCATTCAATAGAATTCTCTATCTAAAGTAGGTAATTTGATTTAACAGAGCTAAGCTCATCCATGACTCAAGGAGTGTCCATGTATAAAACAGGGCTTTATACTGTTTCAGCAGCACATATTCTAAGACTGGATCAATTACAGAGCAGATAAGCATGGCTGCTGCCCCAAGGATGGCACACAGATTCAGAAAAAGCATTCCACATCTTGTGTACAGTCCTAAGAAGGTCATTTGACTATCTGTTAACTAGCTCCAAGGAAACAGTAAGTCAGACTAAACAGGAGACATCTAATATTGAAATTGTTGTTACTGTTATTATAAAAGTATTCATGTAAGGTGATCTGTGAAACAGAACAGCGCTGAGTAAGGGATGGTACATGCAATATGCTGTTAGTCCAGGACTTTAAATGAGGAAAATGTTAACTTGCATCTCTTTCATGGAATCTCGAAACAAGATGTCAGGTTTTGTCTTGTATGTCAGTTGGAGAGGACCAAGAAGATGCAGCCTCTAACACAGACCTGCTGGCTCTGAGTTTGAGGAAGTAGAGAAGGAATGAAAGGTCTAAGTCAGGTTTTGAGACATTTATGGAGTTTTCTGCCTTTGGTGTACTGATGAGCTCAGAATAGTGAATAAATTAGGTAATTATTTTAATGAGATAATAATATATTTATATATAAATTTAGTTATGTTATGAATTAGCTAAAATGCCCTGAAACTACAAGCCAATGAATAGAACTGATAACCAAATTAGACTTAGTAACATTTTCTGAAAATCAGACATTCAAAATATTAGAACTTGCGAAAAATCATCATCAGGTTTTGATTCCAAATTGTTTCAGCAATACAGTCTTAAGAATAAATTATTCCATTGCTTTATTTCCTCTGAATATTTAAACACGTTATCTCATTACATTCTAACAACCTAGCAAGTAAGGTAGTAAATCCTTATTTTTTTGAAAATATGGAGCCTAAGAGAAGCAACTGGTCTAAAAACAAAATACCTATGGGTTACAGAGTGAGGACTTACTCTATGGCAGGACACTTTCCAGATATTAAGCTAATTCAGAATTAATTTACTGAGCTACGCTTCTCTCAGTTTATGAGTACTTCCATGTTTTTCTTCTTTAACTGTAGTTTAGTAAGTTTATAGAGCCTAAAATTTAAAGTGTATAGACATTAGGAGTTCTGATATTAGCTCTTATATTGTCTGAAATGCTTTAAGAATTTAATATATTTGGTAATTATTTTCATATCACTATTAAAATAGTAATTTTATTTATTATATTTATTATGCATAGCATCCAACAACAAATTTTGGGAATATGGTAATAAGATACTTTAAAATGATCTTCAAAACGACAGTCAAGGTAAGATTTCTTATAGTAAATTTCTCCTTTCTCTTGGTGGTCTTATTGATTTTAAAAAGTAAGATTATAGGCTAGTACAATGGGTCATCTGTAATCCCAGCACTTTGGGAGGCCAAGGCAGGAGGATCACCTGAGGTCAGGAGTTTGAGACCAGCCTGGCCAACATGGCAAAACCCGTCTCTACTAAAAATACAAAAATTAGCCAGGCGTGGTGGCAGGCACCTGTAATCCCAGCTATTCAGGAGGCTGAGGCAGGAGAATCACTTGAACCTGGGAGGCGGAGGTTGCATTGAGCTGAGATCGCACCACTGCACTCCAACCTGGATAAAAGAGCCAAGACTCCATCTCCAAAAAAAAAAAAAAAAGTAAGATTATATAGTTTTAATCATAAAAGAGGCAGTTTTAAATATATGTATATAAATTAATTTTTAAATTTAATTTCCTTTAGAATTCAGAATTAATGGGTTAGTTGTGGAAGTAATTCATAATCTCGCAGGCATTGTCTGAAAACCATGCATTTACCTACTTCTATGTTCCTGAAATTCTACATGATATTTTGTGTAAATATAAAAATTAGATTTTGCTAGTATGTTTTATTTTCCTCTATAAATCACATTATTACAAAATTGACTTGTGATGCAAATGGATCTTCTATTTAATTTTTATAATAAATGGTTTGTATTTTGTAAATAAATATTAATTATAGTTGATTCTTGAATAATAAGGTGGTTAGTAATTTGATCCCTGTGCAGTTGAAAATCTGAGTATAACTTTGACTCCTTCCAAACTTAACTAATAGCCTACCATTGACTGGCAGCCTTGCTGATAACATAAACAGTCCATGAACACATATGTGGTGTGTGCTGCATTATTAGATACTATGTTTGTACAATAAAGTAAGCTAGAGGAATGAAGCTGTTATAAAGAAAATCATAGAAAAGGAAAATGCACTTACTGTTCATAAAGCCAGAAGTGAATCCTCCCAAAGATCTTCATCTTCACTACCCCAGGTTGATTAGGCTGAGGAAGAAGAAAAAGGTGTTGTCAGTTGTCTCCTGCCTGCAGAGGCAGTATGAAAATCTGCATCTCAGTGGGCCTCTGCAGTTCAAACTCTGTTTGAGGGTCAACTGTATTGCTATTATGAGTCTGTGTCACTAAGAAAGTAACTCTTCAGAACTGGAGCCCAACAACTTTCTGATACTCGTAAACAAATGGAAATAAGAAACCATAAAATTGAGCCACAGTGTGCACCACACAAATAGGAGATTATTTTGAAGATACCTACTGAATGCAGAAGATGGGAAAGGAATCCCTTTAAGGAGAAGCAGAAGTTGTGCATGATGTTTATACAACAAGGTCTATTTTTTTCCTCATTCTCCATAAGTTGGAACCTCATGAGGTATATTCACTCTTTAATGTTTATTTTTAAAATGCTTGAATAATTTAAAATATTAATTTGTTGAACAAGATAGTCTGTTACCAGGCGCAGTGGCTCATGCTTGTAATCCCAGCACTTTGGGAGGCTGAGGCAGGCAGATCACTTGAGATCAGGAGTTTGAGACTAGCCTAACCAACATGGTGAAACCCGCGTCTACTAAAAATACAAAAATTAGCCGGTGGCACGGGCCAAGCACCTGTAATCCCAACTACTTGGGAGGCTGGAGCCAAGAGAATTGCTTGAACCCAGGAGGTGGAGATTGTAGAGCCAAGATTGTGCCACTGCACTCCAGCCTGGGTGACAGAGCAAGACTCAAGACTCCATCTCAAAAAAAAAAAAAAAAAAAAAGTCTGTTACCATTAGGCAAAAAGATGATCAGAATAAATATTGTATTAGCCAAACTCGAGGCTCAAAAAATATAATAAAATTATAAAATGTGGTTTACAAAAATAAAAAATATAAATAATTAAATGCATTGTACAATCTGAACTGTATAAAGACACTATTAATTTAGTACATATTTATCAAACTACTTTGTAGTTAGGTTTGGCAAATCACAGCAGATAAGATGGAATTGAATAGTTTTTGTCTTTAAGGTACTCAGAATACAGATAACTATTTAATTTTTTGTAATGTTTTTTTACCAGAATTTTAAGAAAAGATTTAATTCATCTACATAATTTTCCACTTAAAAATAACTATCGTGTCTTTTTGTGGATCACATTTTTCCAATGTTACAAAATCCATTTAAAAAAATATAGTTAGAGACTGTGAATACCATTGTCATTTATTTACTACCTTATGTAGTGCTTACTGTGTGCCCAATGTCATCTGGGAGTTTATTGTTATAATTTATTATGTATGTATTATGTTCAGTATGTGCCAGGCACTTTTAGGATTTGTGTGATGAATGCAAGCTTCTAAAATCTGGGCTCTAATTTAGGGTAAGCATGCAGAGTGAGTGGAACTTCACCAATAAGGAGGCAGAGGGATGATGCTGTAGAAGGAATATCTAATGTTGTATGTTTGATGAAGAAGCAGCCGTGAAGAATGAAAGTTTTAAAAGGAGGAGCAATTTTAAAATCGTGAGGATACCTGCGTGAATCCTTTGTAGAGTTTATGAGCAGTTCAAATTTATTTAGTAAAAATTATATGAGTGGGTTGGTAATGAGGTGAAAATAGCTTATAGTTATTATTTATTATGTATTTATTATGTGCAGATGTACGGTGAAGGCAAGCTTAGCAAGATCTTGTTGTTGTTGTTTTACTCTGTGTCTAGAAATGTTCAATAAAAAGACTTTTAATAGTATAGAAATGAGTAGATCTTATCCTGTAGGCCAGGGAAATCTCTCGGTAGAATGTCTTGGTCGCAAATACTAGAAGACCTAGCTAACAGTGGCTAAAACTATAAGAACCAGACTTCGGGCTTGGTTGTCCAGTGATATAATCTGATCCCACTTGTTCCTCTCTCAGCTATGATGTTGGCATCTGTTCATTTCTCCTTTCATGGTTGGCTACTTAGCAACAGCTCTAAACATGATGTTCAAGCAAGATAGTATCTAAAGCTGGAAGGGCTGCTTCACATGTGTCTATTAAATTGGGAGAAAACTCAGGAAGTATGCAGGGGACTTTGTAATTTTTTTTTCTTTTTTTTTTGAGACAGAGTCTTGCTCTCCTTCATCAGGCTGGAGTGCAGGACATGATCTTGCCTACTGCATCCTTCACCTCCCAGGTTCTAAGTGATTCTCCTGGGTTTCAATCCTTTTCCAAGTAGCTGGGACTACAGGCGCCTGCCACTACACTCCAGCTAATTTTGTATTTCTTCTTTTTTTTTTTTTTGAGACGGAGTCTCGCTCTGTCGCCCAGCCGAGATGCAGTGGCCGGATCTCAGCTCACTGCAAGCTCCGCCTCCCGGGTTTACGCCGTATTCTCCTGCCTCAGCCTCCCGAGTAGCTGGGACTACAGGCGCCCCGCCACCTCCCGGCCAGTTTTTTTGTATTTTTTTAGTAGAGATGGTTTCACCAAGCGTTGGCTGTGATGGTCTTGATCTCTTGAAATCATGATCTGCCCACCTTGGCCTCCCAAAGTGTTGGGATTACAGGCATGAGCCATCATGCCTGGCCCTCTTTTGTAATATTTTATTGGTTGGCCACACCATGCATTCCTAAACCAGGCACTGGGAAAGCAAAATGTGATTAGCTTAGAATAATCATTTCTCTTTGAAGCTGGGGAGGGCATTGGGATAATAAATATCCAAATAGATTGTGTTTCTCCAGTGCTAACACAAGGGAACTGCTCCTGATAGGAGCCAGCAGTGTTTCTGGGTCTAGAAATCTACTGGAAAATCATGAGTAGGGGAGGCATTAGATTAGATTTGAGATTTAGGGCACTCTGTTCCTAGGTATAAAGCAGGATTGGTGGCAGGCTTTTTCAAAGGGGCCATGAAATATTTTAGCCCATGTGGTCGGCCCTCTCTTACTCTCTTTTCAAGAATGATTTAAGCAGCTGAATATGTGGTCTCTGGGTTGTAGCCACTTCAACCCTGCTAACAGTGAAAGCAGTCATAGGTAGCATGTCAGTGAGCAGGCCCGACTGTACTCTCCTAAACTTTATTACATAAGTTATATGGTAGGCAGGATTTGCCTGTGGTCTGTAGTGTGCTGACTCTTATGTAGAGGATCAATGAGATGATGTCACTCTGGAGCAGTTATAGGCATTACTGACTAGGCATTTTATTATGTCTATGAGATGACATCCACCTTTTAAATGTGTGGGTGATGAGCACAAGCTTCTGAAAATGGATAGGATTTAGGAAGCAGCATGCAGAGGAGTGAAACTGGGTTAGGCAAGGAGGCAGAGGGATGATGCTTGCAGAAGGAAGATCTAATGTTTCAGCTGTTTCATAGAAATACACAGCTAAGTGAAGCTCAAAATTTGTAAAAAGAAGTAAGGTGCAAAAGGTAACACACTGCCGGGCACGGTGGCTCATGCCTGTAATCCCAGCACTTTGGGAGGCTGAGGGGCAGATTATGGCGGCCGAAGAGATGGAGACTATCCTGGCTAAACATGGTGAAACCCCGTCTCCTACTAAAAATACAAAAATTAGGCCGGGCGCGGTGGCAGGCACTCCAGTCTCAGCTACTCTACTCTTAACTGCAGTAAAGAGACTGAGACATGGAGGCTTCAGCTGCAGTTAATGCTATAGTTTCCTTGTCACAAATCCACGGAGTATACAAGCCTTATTACAAGGTTTTCACCATCCATGATAAAATAAAACATGGAGCCCACTATTCATTTGAAAATATTGGTGTTGCTGGGGATGGTGGCTCCCCGCCTGTAATCCTACAGTGTTGAGATCGAGATAGAAAGATCCTTGAGGCCAGAAGGTCCAGCAGCCTGGGCACATAGCAGACCTCTATGTCTGTTTTTTTAATGTAGCTGGGTGTGGTGTTCTGCACCTGTAATCCCAGCTACTTGGGAGGCTGAAGCAGGAGAACTGCTTGAGCGCAGAA